CGACCTTGTGCGGCGTGCCACAAGGCTCAGTCCTCGGACCACTCTTATTCCTACTGTACATCAATGATATTTACAAGTCCTCTTCGTTATTTGCCTTTTATCTATTTGCTGACGATACTAGTATAATACTTGCAAATAACAACCTAAAGGAACTCGAAACACTTGTTAATCGCGAGCTTGGCAACGTCAACGAATGGCTAAAGGCCAACAAACTGTCCTTGAACATAAAAAAATCAAATTTTGTAATCTTTCGTCCCCGGCAAAAGAATATGCCCTTCATACCTAGGATTAGAATTTTTGACTCCGTGACTAACACCTACGCAAACCTTGAAATGAAAGATTATGTAAAATATCTTGGCTTAATGATTGATTCAAATCTTTCATGGAAATACCACATCGAATCTATCTGTCACAAAATCAGCAAGTCGATAGGAATTATAGCTAAAATTCGACATTATGTCCCGCGTCGTGTTTTACTTTCAGTTTACAACTCATTAATTGTCCCTTACTTGACTTATGGTATTTGTGGTTGGGGAAATTGTGCCTTGACATTTCAAAGAAAGATCGTAACTCTACAAAAACGGGCCTTACGTCTCATTTACTTCAGTAAGTCTAAGGAACACGCCGTACCCTTCTTTCTCAAATCAAATTGCCTTCCCCTGTCTAGCATATTTTTCAGAGATTGTAGCTATTTATTGTATGATATCAACAGACAGATAGCACCAGTTAGTATTCTCAATCAGTTCGTTAAAACAAGTCAGATTCATAACTACAGAACAAGATCTGTCTCTAGCGACTCGTTTTATGTTAAGTTCTCTAGAACCGATAAAATGTATGCCTTTTTCACGAGAATCGGTGCCCAAATTTGGAACTCTATTCCGTATTCGATTAAAATACTTAAACGTTCGTCCTTTCGTAAAAAAATAAAGGAATTATTACTAAATTTTTTGCGGTCAGAAGATGATTATGTCGAAGTCTCCCGTCTTATTAAGTTATTTAATACTTTAGGTTAGCCTCTCTTCGTAATCGTTATGTACATGCCTTGTTTTATGTTAGTTTAAATTCTATTTACTGTATTGTAGTGTCTTCACTGTTATTTAGTCCATCTATATATAAATCTTGTTTTGTAAATTGTGTTCAGCTCCCCCCGCCTCGATTAGTTCATAAGCTATTTGCGGGTGGGAAAGTAATGTAATTAGTTATTTTCCGATTTTCAATAAAATTTGTTGTTGTTGTTATGACTGGTTTGGGACGTGAACATGGCCGCCGTTTCACTGTTTTGGGACACCAATATGGCCGCCGTGACGTTATGTGAAAACACTCTATACTTGCTCAAAAATCTTGCTCTCATGAGTAGATGTGGCCCAAGTCTGGTACAACTTCTCGCTAAATAAGTGATTTCAAGATCGTTTGTATCTTACAAATCTGAGGAGATTAAGGGCACCATAGAAAAGTCTTTGAAAAAACTACACCAACGTGCATATTAATGATGTCTCAAAGGTTCTATTAATGATCATCGATTTGATGCCGACAATTTCATTTCGAATCAGGGCCGTAGCTACAATCTTTGACAGAATAAAATGGAACAGCAAATCTCCATGCCCCTAAATCTAGGAAGAAGCCGCGCAAAAACCAAAACGCGCCATTTTCTCATCCTTGATTTGGGGAAGGGGCGGGGGGTACAAATTTCCCGTCTATTTTGTCCAAGGTGCAACGTCATGAAATAGTGGTCACTCTCTATTAGAGAGTCATCTTTCAACACATTTATCGCTTGAAAGCATTGGTCTGTGACCCAGTCACAGGCGTCATCGAGGACGTTCAGACTTACTACACTTTTGCACATCGTGTCCAGGAGGTTAGAGAAAGGCGTTCTTGAGCATGGCATTACTAGTAAATTATAAAAAGATCAGTTCTGCGACAGGGTAAAAAGGACCATTAAAGTCATTTCTCAGGAGTTACTAGACTGTGGACTTTTTAGACCTCGCTGAAATAACAACAATGAACTTAAAACAACAACAACAGCAACTTTAAATCGTGTAGCACACTCGAAGTTTGTTAAAATGACACGGTCGACGTTTCACTGGCGGTTTACAAAAGGTTTTTGTGGGATTTAAGATGCATTGCAACGGTTTTCAACGGTTAATTGCGATTACCAGCCACATGAAATAAAAGTGACTCACGGTCTCTTTCTGTACCGTACCACGACAAAATCGCAAAAAAAAAAAACGATAAAAACCGTGACTGTTGTAAATCGTGCTAATCCTTATGTTTGTCAACATAAATCGTGTTCAATTTCCTAAAATGAAAAAAGAAAATGTGTATAGATAAAATGTCACTAACAATGATCTGTAAAGGCACCGATACACAAAATAGTGCCAAAGGTAACGGCCTCTCCATAGATTGCCTACAGGTCCAACGAGCAAGAGTAGCGTATCTGTGAGGTTTTTCGGCAGGTTCGATCGAGTCTCGTTCGCAGACATTAACTATTTTTTTTTCTTACTGTAATTATTCCTGCAATTACCCGCCGATGCAGTTTCTATTACGTTATAAAGCTTTCTGCCGTTAACCGTGTAAAAAAAATTACAATGTATCAGGCATAAGCATGTCTTTTTTTCGTTGTCCACGAAGAAGAACTCTCTCGTAGTTAATAATGCATCCTGCACTTCATACAGGCTTATGATAAGTGAAGTTTTTTTTCATTTCATATAAATCAAATAAGGGCAATTCTTCTGTTTTGTAGGAGTTCACTGATAAATGACCAGGTTTGTTTTGAAAGCATTTAGCTTTGAAGCGTTTGAGCGCAGATTTCTGCTATGATTGCTACATTTGTACACATGAAGCTGTGAGGAACTTACCAGATTGACATGTCGAACGCCACGCCGCTGTGTTTTGCTAAAATTGTCATTTTTTGGATGAGCAGTGAGCGTGGGGAGGGACAAGCCTATTTACCAGATTTATTGCACATTGATTTTTCGGATTAGCGCGTTTTCGACACCTGAATTATGGAGACATAAAACAATAATCTCATAAAGGGGGGTTATGAGGGGCACCCAAGAACTCCCCGTAGTTCCTCTTGGTTTCACTCCTGAGCTGCCCACTGAAACATGCAAGTAAATCAAAGCAAGCGAAGGATAAGCAGAGAGCAAGAAGTACTGGCTGAGTACCATTTAACCTGTTTCTACTGTGCTCGCTTATTGAGATATGAAGACTGAAGATAAATAATTAAAAAATATATACATTAATTCAATAAAGGCTGCTTTTGGCAATTGGGCATTGGGCATTGCTTGAGTGAAGACAAAGCAATACCGATTACCAGTGCCCAAAGCAATTTTATTGAATCAGCTATATGGGAAATTTATTTCTGAAAGAAATAAATGGTTTTATGGTTAATGTGACTCATTAATATGTCATTTCTCCAGCTTCTGGGAAGAGGGCGTTACTGCCATCCGGGACATTATATATGTGTTTTTATGACTTGAAAGCGAGGCACAAGGCCTCTCTGCTCACTGCAACAAGAAAGTTGAAGAGCATTTTTCCCTCCCTTCCCTTCCCTTTGGCTCCACTTTCATCTCCCGGATGGCGGGTGTGCCCTCACCTTTTAGGATAAATCTTCTTGTGTATCTGGATTTTACTAGCTTGATGTGCTTAAAATGAAATAAACGGCCACTCTTGTGGCCAGATTTATCCCAAACTGGAATTGTCACTTTTCGGTATCCCAGCAAGCAGAGCTCAACCAAAGCGAGACTCCACCAACAGCAATAACTGACTCTATAATACTATATAAAGGAACATGGAGCATAAATGACACTGATTCTTTCCTCTACTAATTCGAGTAAACGATCATTGAAGTCAGTCTAAAGACTATAGAGATGTGACCGTTTTCGAAGAGTGCTTATATTCTACGTTCTTTATTTTTAATTACAGTCGAACAGTCGGAAATTCAAATCATAGGCCGATATCATGTTATTTTTAATACTAGGCAGACCGTGGCTATTTTACAGTCGTGGACTTAATATCCTAGCCTTTAAGTGAACGTTAGGCTGAGGTTTGACCTTTTGATACAATCCTCCTTCCTTTTCTTATGGAAACTATGCTTAAAAATACTAGTTAACATACGAACAACACGTTATACATAATAAAGCAGGAAGGGTTGTATCAAAACAAGGTCAACTCCAGCCTCGTTTCCACCTGTATAATTTTGTGCAACTGTAAAACTGGGTAACTGTAAGTGCTCTCCTTTGTACACGCATGAGCTACTAGCATGCCTCCTCGGAATTTCCCCTTTCTGGATCCCTGCATGGGCAATAACTTAATAATGCATTGTGGAAGGTATTACATAAACCTAACTAAGAACAAGCCTTACTGAGAAGATAAGTCTTCAACACCAGATCTGGCCATTCCATCGCAGATGTAAACCGTTCCAGAGTTTAGGCGCAGGAGCAACAAAATTGCGGTCGCCCAAGGATTGTTAAAGTTTTAAAATTTGGGAATGAAAGCACTATTGTTGCTGTCAGACCGGAGACTATACACTGTATCCAGAACAAGATCACTCAGTAATTACGATACAATTTTTGAAATTTTCACAGCATGATAAGGCGTGGTAAAAATATTCAATGTAATTACACAGTGGACAAAAGAGAGCTTACGTAATATTCACACTTGGTGCTCGGACGTGGAGCCCGGCATACCCCTCTGCTACTCTCGCCTTTCAAGATGGGGAGTTTATATGATTCAAAGCAAGGGGGCATTGTACTGACGGTCAGTCCAGTGATGAGAAAAGTCTTTACTTTGATATCTGTCCTTTGTCGTCCCGTACCTGCCGGTCTTATAAGCTCTGCACTTTACCTGGCTTCATTTTTATTATTTTTAGTAGTGGCTAAAAAGTGACTATAAAGGTTTCAATACATGGACAACAATCTCGATATCCACACTGGTTCACCATGCTCTACAATCTTAGGAACTTGTTAAACCACACTACCTGCTAAGTTACAGTTTGAAATCTATATCAATATTATGGTCACCTGACCATGTCCAGCTGTTTTATAACAGCATTCATTTCGCTGATTATTTCCAGCATTGTAAGATCCTCCCCCTCCTCCACAGGAGTCAGCTAAATTATTCCCGCTACTTCCCCCAGAGTAGCCTCCTCCACCTCCAGCACCTCCTCCCGCTCCATAAGCGCCACCACCCCCTCCAAACCCACCAACAGCATTGTAATACCAAGCTCTTCCACCCACTCCTCCCTGAAGAAATCCTTTGCCTCCTTCTCCGCCATATCCCATTGAGCCTCCGAACTGCATTGAGCTTCTTCCACTAGAATAAAATCCACCAGCGCCTCCACCTAAAATGTAATTAAATAACATTATTATTCATTCAAAATATTTTCCCGATTCTGATTGGCTAAAAGCACTCGTTTAATTCACCATAACCAGTTACTGATGACCAAATTTGGAAGAATTTTGTGTTTAACGAGGAAATGACGTCAAAAATGCAGCGTTTTCGCAGGTTAGGGCACCGTTAACCGAGAAGACCTGGGGACGAGGTTGAGTTGTTTTGATTGTGAACTTGTAAAATGGCGGACATTTCACTCGTTTCAAGAGTAAGAACTAGTCGAAAACGTAGCTAAAAACAGGACAAGAACAGAAAAAGGACAACTCGAAGGGCGACATCTGCTATTTGGAGAATATTTGCGGAGCTGAACAAACCTAAACGTGCTCTATCGAAGATGAACTTAACATTGATGGATCGATGGAGGTTAGCATGTTTGAGCCATGTTTTTAAAGTAGGAATTATTTTGAATGAATAATAAAACAATTATTGAATTCGGCTTTCGTATCATATGAAGAATTATGGAGATCTCGGAGGGTGTTATCCGTCGAGGCCGTAACACCCTCCTCGATCTCCATAATTCTTCATAAGATACTCAGCCTCATTAATTAATTGTTAATTAAATAACTCTTAACTAAAAAAAGGTAACATGTGCAGGTGGATTTCCTGAAGCTTTTTCATTCAACAATTAAAATAAAGATTCTATTGACAAAAGTAAATATAGTCACATCACCTATATTTATACAATGTATTTTGGGCGCTGTAAATGCTGGGAAAGCTATTAACAATTATTCTTTTCAGCGACCCGTACTTTAGGTCTCGATGTGAGTCACTAATATTCCTTATTATTTGTTAAATACCACAAATTTCATCATACCATATGTTTGTATGTATTTATCTAATATTATTTGCCTTTATATGTATTTCATTTTATGTCCAGAAATCTCGCACGTCAAATTTCGCGCGACTTATATTCAGACTGTTTCGTAGTTTCGCAATCGTTTTACTGTGATTCCCGGGTTCATAATGTTCGGAAAGTTCGAGTGGTCAAATACGTACTGGTTTATGGTCAAATAAAAGCCGCTGGTCAAAAATATTGCCACAAACAAAAATGGCCACGAAAACTCAAAGAAATAAGCTTTCGAACAAGAGGTTTTTGAGACAATTTAGATGATTTTGGCTGAGATATTGTAGAGGGAAGGTCTTGGATTCAAGCCGTGTAGTAGAAGCGTATTCATAAATAGAATCAACTCCAACTTCTTTAAACGTGGGAAGGAAGAATATACTTTTTCAGTGGACAAAAAACTCACGATAGAAACATAAGACTTTGTACTTGAAGATTTAATCGCATCCTCTGAGAGTTTCCCAGCGGAATTGTCATTAATTACCGAAGGAAAGAGGTTAATCAAGGTGGCAGTGCTCCATTTGCAATAGAATCATATGGAAGACGCAGGTAATTTTTTCGTATTTTTATTTCCATTCTGGGAAGCTCGACATTTGAAGGTAGGAGTTTAAGTTTGTCAAAACTAAGATTTAAAAAAGTCAACCTTTTAGTATCAATCGCGTCCTAGTGTTCATGTATATCGAACAACATGCTGTACGTATCGAAAATTATTTTACTAATATCATGGGTGACGAATTACTCCTTAATTTTGGCGCGAAATTTCAGCGTTAATTTGTAATTTCACATGTGAAATTACAAAATTACCATGGCGACCTAACGTACGTCTCAGTGTCAAGATGGCGACGAAGTTTTAAAATGCCGTGAATGAAGATGTCAGGGCACAAAAAGACGCTTTAGAAAACCTGAACACACAAGAGAACATCAAGAAGGATACAGAAACAGGTATTTTGCCGAAAAAGTCTGAAAAATTCTGAACTTTATAAGCCAAATTTAAGGTCCGTCTAAACATTTGAGAGAGTGCCGGAGTTTTCGATCGATACGATCCAGGATAAACATGTCAAAAATCCAAGATTGCTAACGTAATTCGTCACCCATGATATTAATAGGTAATCAAATGGTATACTCGTGAAATTAGGGAATAATTTCACTTGCGTTTTGTCCAAATCCTAATAATTTCCCTCGCCTAAAGGCTCGGGAAGTAAAATTATTCCCTAATTTCACTCGTCACCAATTGATTACATATACTTATCCCACATTTCTTTGTAATTTTTTCATTTTTTGCTGTTGGAATTTTTTCTACGTGTCCACTGCTACCGCGCGTGCGTGAAATTAAATTCTGGCCATAGTGTATATGAGGAACAATAAAACAGAAATTAATTTCATGAATGATTGAAAGTTAAACAATTTTACCTACAATTCTTTCAAGCCATCTTGAGGAAACAAGGCAAGAAAGTCTTTAGAAGCTAAGAAGGCTGACGAGTGAAGCTCTTTCATTTTCAACGTTTTAATTGATATGAGAAAATGGTCAGCATACGATGGATGTGATGGTATTCGTTAATAATACCGAAAAAGAGATAAGACAAAGTGAAACTTAGCAATGGGAAAACTTTACTTTTAAACGCGGACTGTTGTCTTTCATCTAGTTAGGGACTTGTCAGAAATTAGCAGGGGGGGAGGGGGGGTGGGAATTTTAAATTTGGGTTCGGAAATTAGGTGACCCACCCCTGCAATGGGAGTGAAATTTGCTAACCCTCCCCTTGAGCTTGGTCTAAAATATCATGACCCTCCCCACCTTACAGAATTGAAAGAAAAATGTTCCAGGCTCTTTAAGGTGCAGGATTCCAAGCCAACAAGAAAAACAAATGAACAAGAAAAAAAAGGAAACAAAAGCAAAATAAAAGCAAAGCAAAGAAAGCTAGGGCAAAAAGAATGGAAGCTAACTGCAAAGGAGCTATTGAAACCATATTACACCTCAGCAAGAATCGCGTGATATTACAGAGGCTATTGGCCCATTATTTCTTCATTATGAAGGAAAAAGTGGGTTCCTCAAAACGCAAAGGCCATATATCTTTGAGAAGGGTTGTTCACCAATGAATCACAGGACATTATCAAGCAATATCTACGCTTCAACTTAAATGAAAATCATGATGATGATGAAAGTGATTGTATCAATGCGAAGCTAATAAAATAAGATAAAATAAACAAAATAAAATGCTGATGACATAAATGATGATGATCAAGATGCTCACAGCAGCATTGATAGTGATGCTGAAGACAGGGATGAAAAGGATAGCCAAAACTTTAATAACATTAACAACAACATTATTCGTTATTGCAATAAGACTCTATAGCATTTTTATAAATGAAAAGTAAATGTTTGTTAAATACTTCACAGTTTATATCCATAATATTCCATTGCTCTTTTTTTTTTACGAAATAAAGAAATTTTGTTTTTCTTCTGTGAGTGAACGTCTACATGATCACGGGCATATATTTGCATGACCCTCCCCCTTTTAACGGCCCATTTTTCATGACCCCTCCCTTTTCTGAGTCTCAAAAAGTTGTGACCCTCCCTCTGTTTCCACCCCCCCCCTCCCCCCCAGCTAATTTCTGACAAGTCCCTTAGTTCGCATCCTAAGTGGAGACAGAGTTTTTCTTTGTTTGTCTTTAATGCATGAGTGACGAATATAACGTCTTTCTTAAAACTCTGAAAAAGTGGACACCAAAGGTTGAGGACTTTGACCTCCATCGACGAAGGTAGTCTCCATATTGAAGAAGGCAGATGTAGTTAGATAGTAGATTTAGCAAAGATTGCTGTCGTGGTGACCCTTCTCATCTTGAAACACACTCGTCTCACCTGAGTTACTCCTGTCAGCGGTCGTTGCTCCTTGTCCACCACTCCCTCCCGACCATGACCTGTGCCCAGGATTCCCTGCTGTCCCCGTAGAAGCATCGCATCCAGAATGTCTCGACCGAGCAACTTCCCTGCCTCCTCCTCCGCCAGCTATTATCAAAGGCGTGTTGCGTCCTCTCACCACAAACGTACCTCCACCACCACCACTGCTTAGACCTTTAAGGTTTATACTTCCCTCTTGACCAACAAGTATTTGAGTTGTTTCTCCTTTGGATAAGCGAAACTTTCCTCTTAATCTGGCACCTCCTGCCGCGATACAGACCATTCCTGCTTCTGAAATCATATCCCCCTGCAGCTCCTATTGCCTCTATCCTGTAGTCACCTGTGTGTGGTACAGTCCATTGTTGAATACCGCTGACCAATGTAACTTGACCGTCATGATCCCGTCCACTGTAGTAACTACCAAGAGAAGTTGGACCCAGTCTTCCACTCGCACCGAGGTTTGCAAATACAGCTCTGAATGATACTGAATGACGATTTCATAAAAAAAATTAAAATAAACACCTACTCTAGTAATAATTAATCAGCTTTACTCAGATGAACTTTTCTACTTATGGCACCTGTCTCTTAAAAAAACCTTGACGTACTAATGATCAATGCATTCGGTCTTATTTGATGGCGTTACGTTGCCAAACTTACATCTAATAGAATAAATGCGGTATTTTGACACTCGAACTTATTTTGTAGAACGAAAGACTCAAAACTCACTGAATAGATCAGTCACCTTCCAACGGACTTTCTAGAACGAGCACAATGTAGAATAGCATGGAACATCATGTTGGATTTAAAGAACTCGCGGTACTGGTGTAATTAATCGGATTTTGGAGAGGTTCTTCGGTGGGTATGTTCTTTTTTTAAGGGAAAGTAAGCATAAATTTTGTTCACATAACATAACTTTATTAACGAAAAAAGGAAATGTTTTGTTTGTAAGTTTGTTTGCCTGTTTGAGTTTCTTTCTATTTAAGGATACTGAAGCTTTGAAACGAGTCTATGATTTCATAAGTGAACCAGGCTGCAGCGAGGCATTAAATTTGAGTTTATTGAGCAAAGTATCATAACCAAACTGATCTCGAAGAAAAGTATCAGAACACCCAAGAGTTCGCATATGAAGACCGGCTGCTATACGCTATCATATCCATGGACCAAATCATTTGCTATCCATGCCTAGGCTTACGTATGCCTTGCAGCGTGTTTTCTACACAAATAATAGTTCCATGTTCTCTTTATAAAGATGATGGTTTAGTTAGAGACAAGTACTAAATGTTGAAAATTTGATAGTATAAACTTCTATTTGAATTTGTCGAAACTTTGGTAAGTCACAGGCATAGTATTTTCTTACCAAGTACACATGTTGTACCATTTCCTGAATATCTAGCGTTGCATGCGCAAGAATACGATCCTGGGGTATTCGTATACACAGCGTTGACATCACAGGAGTAAGCGTTTTTGAAACACTCGTCCACGTCTAAAAGTGTAAATTTAAAAAAAAGGTAGTTTTTTGGGGGTGATATGTAATACTTTTGGAATCTGCTTTGTTCATTGCAATCATTTTTAAATTTTACCAATAATCAGTACAATGCTCTGACTGCTAATTCTGCCTCCTCCTCAGGTCCTTCTTAACGCACTTTGATCGCAACCCGCGAGTATTCGGAAATTGAGCCTTGACGTCACGAAGGGGAGAATTAGAAGCAGTGCATTCGCCAACATCGGAGTAAAAAATTCAATAGAAAGTCATTTTATTATGTGCTTTATCATAGGTGACGAATTACTCCTTAATTTTTGCGCGAAATTTCAGCGATAATTTGTAATTTCACATGTGAAATTACAAAATTGCTATGGCAACCTTCCGTACCTCTCAGTGTCAAGATGGCGACGAAGTTTTTAAAATGTTATCAGTGAAGATGCCAGGGCATATAAAGACGCTTTTAAAAAACCTGAACACACTAAAGAGCACATCAAGGATTCTAACAGGTATTTGTCGAAAAATTCTAAACTTGAGTCAAATTTAAGCCCTAAACGTTCGAGAGAGTGGAGTTCTCGATCGATACGATCCAGGATAAACATGTGAAAAATCCAAGATTGCTAACGTAATTCGTCACCCATGATATTAATAGGTAATCAAATGGTATACTCGTGAAATTAGGGAATAATTTCACGCGCGTCTTGTACACTGAAATCCTTATAATTTCCCGAGCCTTTAGGCAACAGCATCAGGCAGAATGGCTAGACATTTACGCATAATAATGAGCTGCCGTGGCGGGCTTTTCAAGCATGAACGACGCTGCACAAAAGCGCCAAAATAAAAGAGAAAAGAAGGATTTTGGCGAAGTTCGCTCAGTAAAATCGTCATTTTAAATACCGATAGTCTACTTTTTTAAGAAAAAAAAGCGACTTTTTGTAGCTAGAGGGCTAATCTTCAACGGTACGTAAAAACCAGGAAAATTCAACGAGAATAACTTGTAGACTTTTTGATTTCAAAATTCGGTTTTTTCGGTATTTTTAGTATGGGTCAAGAGCGCATTAAGATGAGAAGAAGAGAAGCTATTATATATTAATGACTCACCAATCTTCCTCAGACTCCCTGCACAAAGCCTCTCTAAGCAACCCCCACCTCCTCGGAAATTGCCTCCTTTTGGACCACCCTCTTCTCGGAATTTCCGTTGCCCTCCGGGCGGGGGGGGGGGGGGGGGGGG